GTCGTCCTCTGCCTGGAGAGACTGCCAATGCAGCACCACCGCGTCCAACACTCAGGCGGGCGCTGGGCTGCAGCGGCGCCTTCCGGGCGGGTCACCCTTCACACCGCAAGGCAGCCGCCACGCGAAGGTGGCGGCGCCCGCAGCGACTGCCGGCGCATGGCAAGCAAAAATACATCAAGGGCACAGCATGCACATAAACAGTCGTCTGTCAAGCGAAAGCAAATCAAACAAACAAAAAAAACAAGTGGAGAGAAGCAGAGAGGAGGGAAGGCGCAGTCAACAGACGCGCCACCCCGCATGCCCCCGCAGGGAGTGTCCTGCGGCAACCTCGCGGAGGCGCACACACACGCAGAGGGTGAGAGTGAGAGTGAGAGTGAGAGTGAGAGTGAGTGAGAGGGAAAAGAAGACAGACAGACAGACAGACAGCGTCACCGATAAACTGGGAATAAGTGGGACTAGGCCAAAGAGCAAAATAAAAACAATTGAGCGAAGAAGGGAGGGGTGTAGCTGTGGAGAAGAAATCTGTCGTTGCATGCATTGGAGAGTGCGAGCTAGAAAGAGAGAGGGGGGGGGGAGAGAGAGAGAGAGGTGTGGACAAGGTGCCGTGTTGAAGTTAACACCGCCCCGTGCACGGAGAAAACGCTCCCAGAGAGGGCGCAAATCCCACCTCGTCCTCTTCTTCCGCAGCTTCTGTTTTGTTATCCCCACCCGCTCGCACTCCAGCCATCACCGCCTGCGCCCCCCTCAAAAAGAGATGTTTGGGCGTCGGCGGCACGAAAATTCCCAGAAAATATTAATAATAAAAACACACACGAACGATGTAAGCATGCAAGTTGGTAACACCTCAGTATTAGGGAGTATACATATATATAGATATATAGATAGATATGTGTGTGCCTTTGTGTGTGAGGAAGCCCAATTCCTACCGCCAAAGGCCATGGATGAACTGGCCCTTTCTTTTTTTTCTTTTTTGTTTTCCTTTTCGCTTTTCGTTTTTCCCTTTGGTTTACTATCTCCCTCACCCTCCACCCCTCCCTTTCGTTTTCTCCGTTGATCGGGCCTCTTCTCGTCGGCGTGCGAAAAGTGAGACGTGCAGCCCAAGCCGTCTCAGGCGGTGTCTACGCCCGCAGGGCGTACCTCGTGGTTGCGTTGCCTGCACGCGAAGCAAAAGGGAGCGTGGGACGCCAAATACCCGCGAGAGGAGTAGGGGCTTCACACATGAGTCGCCGCAGTCTCCGCCCAACAAGCCCGGTATTTGTGTGTGGCGTGCATGCGTGCGTGCGTGAGGCGAGGCGGGGGGAAAAAGAGGGCAAATGGTGGCTTTCACCGCACGTGTAGACGCGCCCCCCGCCCCCTGGCGATTGCGGCGTGGGCGGCCCCTCAGCGCCAGCGGCGCTCAATCAGAAACAGGCTGCAGTTGTCCAGGCCGATCCCCTCGTCGTTGTCGCAGGGGGCCACGCACTGCGCAAAGACGCCTGCGGCGGAGGTGAGCAGTTGGGCATCCAGCAAGGCCGTCTCTCCGGCGTTTGCGCCGTCGCGCGCCGTGGGCTCCTTGTGCGGCAGCGCCATCGCCATCTCTCTGGCGTGTATGACGGCGTCCATCGCGGACCCCGCCACATCCAAGTCGTTGGGTGTGTTGACGATCGCGTGGTGCACCTGGTGCAGCGTGGCGGTGTCCCACACACCGTCGCAGGCGGCCACGACCCCCAACCGCGCGTTGTCCCCCAAGAACGGCACCGGCATGATGGTGACATCCGGCACCGCAATCACCGCCTGCTCCTTCGGCCCTTTGCCGCCGCACTGCTTGAAGTCGTAGTCGCCCAGTGCCCGCGTGACGGCCAGGAGTCCCTCGATGCGCTCGCCCGAGATGGAGTAGCCGGCTGCCGTGATGCGGGCCGCCTCCACCGGGTCGGTGATGCGGTGCGTGACGCTGATGCGGCGGATGGTGTGGTCGGTGTACACGGCCGCCCCGCTGTCGCCGACGTTTGCGCAGAGAATGAAGTTCGCGGTGATGCCAACGACGCACGCGGTGCAGCCGGTGGTTTGGTAGTCCCCGCGCGCCCCCTCCGGGCTCTGCCGCAGGCCGTCGTCCAGCGAGAGCAGGGCGTCCTCCATGATGCCGGCAAAGTACGCCCGCAGCATCTCCATCTCCTGCCGCGAGACAACCGGGGGGCAGGCGCCGCAAAGCCGCAAGCCGGAAAGGGGCGAAAGCTTATCCGCGCTGCTCCCCCCCAGCCCACCCACGTCTGGTGCGGGGGCCACAGGCGCCCGACTATCAGGCAACCGCTGCACTGCCGCGGCCGCGGCAGACTGCGGCAACGGCACAAGCGGCGGTGACACTCGACCCGCGTTGGTCGCCTCGAGGTGCCGTCGCAGTGCCTCGCTCGTGAAGGTGACATCCCGCACGACGTCGTCCTTGCTGACGCCGGTGTTACGCTCCTCCTCCGAGTGGCCCGCCTGTGGGCTGCAGTCGCTCCCCCGCGTGGCAACCGGCGAGCCCTCGCCGGGAGAGAACAGGGGCGACGAGGACTCAAAGTCCAGCTGAAAGAGCAGCGAACGCGCCTGCACGTCGTCGTGCCGCGCGGACGCCACCGCCTTGCGCAGATGCGACTCAAAGTTGCTGGCGGCAAGCTTCGCCACGGCGTCCCCGCCGTGGCCGTCGAAGACGCAAAATATCGCCATTGGGATTGTCTCGGGTGCCGCGTCCTCCTCCTCCTCCTCCTCCTCCTCGGCGTCTCGTGCTGGCGCCGCGGCCCCCGCCGCATAGGCCTGCAACGGCGAGTCGGGGGAGAGTGCGGGGATGTCAATCACAAACGCGGCCTCCGCGTCTTCTTGGGTGGTGCGCCAGCCCTGCACCTTCGCGCCGAGCGCAACCAGCTTGAACACCGCCTCCCCCACGCGCAGCACGTCGTCCTGCACCAGCGGGTTGCCAGACTCGCGCCGCAGGCGGCGTGCCACGGGCGAACCGCAGCCAAGGCTACCAGTCACAGCAAAGATCGGGCTGGCCCGCTCGAGGCCCCGGGCAAGCGAGACGGCACTGAGCGGGCGCTCGTGCGCGGCGTCCAGCGGCTGGTGCATAGGCGAGACAGCGACCGACAGCGGCACTTGCACAGGCGACACCGCGACTGAAAGCACCGTCGTCGCCTGCAGCTTGGGACTGGCGTTCAGGCTGCAGCACAACGGATCTCGCGGCGGGGACATGTGCAAACTCGAGTGCCGCCTGCAGTGGTGCGGCCGCCTCAGACAAACCTCGTAGCCGACACACGATATATCGCGGACCGCCTCCTCCAGGTAAGTTCCGCGCGTGACGGCCAACTGATCCACCAGCGCGTCATACGCCTCGGTGTACTTCCACGTGAAACAGCGGCACTTCTCACACCAGAAAATGCGGTCAAAGCTTGTCATGATATCGAGCAAATTGAGGAACAGTGTGCATTCCGCCTCACACTCCTTGTAGTGCTGCGTGACGTGTGAGGGGCAGGTGGAGCGCAGGCAATGGAGACAGAGGAAGGCCGCGGGGCGTCGATTGCAGTAGACGCAGTGGTGGTACAGAGCGTGGGCATGGTATCTGCTGTAGTCCCCCCCGCGAATATCTTTTGTGATAAACTGCATACTGCACGTGCAACCCGACTGTTCATCCTCGTCCGCCCCATCGCTGGCGCCCACGCGGGCGGTTTGGCTAATATACTTCCCCACCTCCTCCTTTGGGGATATCAGCATGACACCGTTTTCGGCGTCGAAGCAGAGCCTGGCAGCCACCTTGCAGTCCACCAATGGGTCCTCCTCCGTGGGGCTTGTCGCGTACTCGGGGGAGATGCCGCCAAATGTGAAGACCTCATCGTCGCCATCATGTGGCTCGCCGAGTACGTCTTGTCCACCGCCACGCCCATCTAGACTACCTCGCCCCTCCTCCTTGTCCCTACAGCTAACGGAGTCGCCGTGCCCACACGCACCCGTTAATCGAATACTATTTAACATCAGCTCCATCGGCGTCTGCCCCTCCGGAAGCACCTCATACCGTGGAATAAATACATGCTCCTCCGTTTCCAAAATCCCAACTGTGCCAAACGCCTCTGACGTTTCCTCGTCGTCCGCGTTGGGGCACTCATCGGCGGTACTACCCTCGCCCCGTACCTCACGGTTTGTAGCCTCCTCCGACGCCATGTGGGCCGGTTGGCTGGCGATATGCATGAGTCGCTGCATTCGGTGCCGCTTCGTCATCGAGAAGTAAAGGCTGGAAAAGCTGCTTTGGCGTTTATTTTCCCGCGTTGCGGCACGGGTGGAGGCTGTCTCGAGTGGTTGTTGGCGACCGCTAGACACCTCGGGCGTCCCCGTGGATGAGGCCGATGCTGACGAGCTGGAGCGCTCATCCACGCTTTGCACCGTCCGCAGAAAGCCGTCGAGAGCCGCCTTGCCGGAGTTTGGGCAACTCCCACCCAACAACGGCCGGGTCGGGGAGGAGAGAAACGACTTCGGACGCTTCAGCATCTTCTCGTGGTCGCGGTGCTCCAGCCCGCCCGAGACGCCCACCGTCGCTGCCGAGTACACGTTCTCAGGTGTCCGAGTGCCTGATAGCGCCCCCTCCGTCTTCTCCTGGTCGGACGAATACTCGCGGGATGGATGGACTGTGCAGTCTGGCGTGGACGCTGGCGAGCCTGAGGTCGCGTGACCCCGCATCACTTGCGTTAGCGGGAGGTTCGTTGCGGTGCAGCTGGCCCGGAATGACGACCCAGCCTGGCTGCCGTCCCCACTCTCCGGAGGAGGCACAGTGGCAGCCAACGAGGAAGGTCTTGCGACGCCGCTGCTCACCCCTGCGCAGGCAACAGCCCCCGGCGAGAAACCTGGCCTGCCCGCAAGAAGCCGCGATGCACTCGGCGGGGTGAGAGGGCGCCGCGCACCGCAAGAACTGGCCCGTGAGTTGGAGGTGCTGCTTCGTTTACTCTGCATTTGCCGCATTTTGACACGGCGGGGGGTCAAGGTGCAGTCGAGGGAACTCTTGCTGCGGGAGGAGTCCGTGCGGACGTGCTGCGCCATGCTGACCGCGGCGGGGGGAGGGTTCTGACCAGCGACGGCCGACGCTTCTCCCCGCCGCGGGGATTCCGCGGAGCCGAGTGAGGCTGACAGCCTCCAGGCGTTATCAACGGGTCTTGCGGGGGGAGCCGTGTCCGGTCCCCCGGCGTCGAAGTGTCGTGGCGGCTGCCGCGTCTCGAGGCGGTCTAGTGCTTCTACAGGCCTCGCCAGGGGCGGGCTGCTCAGCTGCCTCGGTGAGAAGCAGCCGGGAACGTTGCCCGCAAACGGCCGTAGCGTCGCCGGGGACCCGCCACTGTGAAACGGGGTCCGCGTAATCCTCCAGAGCTGACGATCCTTGAAGGATAGCGCCTCCACCGGCGTCTTCACGGAACGCGCCGGGGAATACTGCCGCCTGCCGATGCACTTGTCCTGCTGCTCCTGTGGGCAGCGCGGTGGGGAGGGCGGAGACAAAAATCTCGGCAACGTGGGTGTGCAAGTTCTTGCGGCGGGGCTGCCCGCCCTCCCGTCTCCCACCTCCCCCTTCTTCTGCTGGGAGAATTGGCCGCTGCCGGGGAGCGCGGCGCCACCGTCCATTCCCTCCGTACCGCCGGCTGTGGCAAAGCTCACGGTCCCGCGCGGGGCCCGCGCACGCAGCCCGGGAGAACACAGCGGCGCCGTAGGGTTGTGCAGCGCCGGACTCGCAAATACTTTCCCTCTTCGAGAATTGACGCTTTTGCTCCGTCATGCGCTGCCGTTCCTTGAAGGAGCTCGCCCCCAGTTTCTGGGACTGCAGCTCCGTCGCCGTTGACGACGGCCGTGTTGAGGGCTGGAGGGAGAGAGTCGACAACGGTGTCAGCGGCGTCCGCGGCAGCACGACATCCTCCTTCGAGGACGCCAAAAACACCGCACTGTTTTGCCGCGACGACCGCGACGAGGGCACCTCCGGCAGCAGAAACCCCATCCCCACCTGCGGGAGCCCCCCGGGGGTCGAGGAGCCGGCGGCCCAGCCATGGGGGTCGTGCGGCACGGCGACGCCCGCCGTCTCCGACGAGGCTGCGGTGCCCCCGTGCTGCGCATGCAACTGGCTGAAGGAGTGCGACGAGTGCAGGCGGGGCATCGGTGCATCCCCGTCGCTGCTGTCGCTGCTGCCGCGGAAGGAAACACTCCCCGCCGACATCTGCAGCGAGGCCCGCGGCAAATAAGTGGGGCGTGCGGGAAGGCACTACGTGCTTCCGGGCGCCTCCGCCGATGTTTGAACGGCCTCGCAGGGCCTCCAGGCGGGACTCGAGAGGCGGTGTGCCTGCGCCGCCAGTCGCTGACAGACGCACCTCCGCCTTGCCGCCGTCTCCCCCCGGCTCAATCCCCCGGTCGCGTCGAATGGGAGGGGGGACTCGAGGAACCGCCGACGGAGGGGAGTGAAGAGAAGAAACACAAGAAGCGCAAAGTAAGCAATGCAATAAAATATTTTTTTTTTCCTTTTAAAAGACACACACACAAGAGGTGTTCGTCTCCTCCCCCCACGCCCCGCCACTCCCCCTGCGGGCCACCTAACGGAGAGGAGGAAGGCTTGTGTGCTGTCACTCCCTAGTCGGTGTGTGTGTGTGTGTGTGAATGGGTGGGCGGGCTGGGAGCGGGGCCGAATGGGCTTGCGACGACCGGCTTTCGCCCGCCTCACGCCAAATGCCGACAGATGGGCTTCCTACGCGCTTTCCGCAGGCAACAGGAGAGAGCAGGCGGGCGGCAGCAAATGCGGATGGGGCACAAGAAACAAAAGCTGGTGACACGTGCATCCCGGCACACAGGCAGAAAAGCACGGGAAAGGGCTGGGAAGGGTTTTTCGTGACAGGGGCAAGCAGCAGATTCTCACACGCAATATAATAATAAAAAATACGGAAGAAAAAGAAAAAAACACCCGCCACAGTTGGTGACGAGTGTCATGCCTTGAAGCGCATGGGTGAGCCCATCCCGTTGACAATTCAATGCGGCGCGCATGCACACAGCCTCCAAGGACGGGGGGGGAAGCCGCATCGAGGGAGCAGAAAAGAAAAAGAAAAGAAAAAGAATGTTTTTGCGAGTGACAAAAAGCCAAGAAGCAACGCTCCAGGGGGTGGCATGCATGCATGCATGTTTCCTTTTTCTTGTCGCTTTGTCCTCGCCTTGGATTTGCCGCAAAAGACCCGTGATTGCTTTCTGCATGTGTGGGCGTGGACGTGGGAAGAACTCGGTGCCCTCTTGCACACGCACAGCGCCCCACCAGCGCCCGCATGCGTCGTGGTGCGACGGGTGTGCCTGCTACGCGCCGCTCCTGCCGTGTCCCGCGCCTCACGGCGTGTGTGTGGTGCCCGCGCCCCCGCCGGCGCCGCCCTGAAGGTTGTCGTCGCCGTCGTCACGCCTCTCCTCCGCCGCGGTCTGCTGCGCCGGGGCCGCCGCCACGGGCGAGTGGACGTTGAAGTCGTACCCCGCAAAGGCGCGGCTCACCGGGTCGCTCGGGTCGCACGGCTGGTCCAGCTGGGCGATCTTCGTGCTCTCCTGCAAGAAGCGCTTGTCGAAGTAGCGGAGGTCGCTGCGGCTGACGTCCGGCACAAACTCCGGCCGTATCTCGCGACGCAGCAGTTTGTCAAAGTCAAGCCCCTTAAAAAACGGGTGGGCGCGAAACTCAGCCCCGCTCGTCATGCGCTTCAGAGGGTCCTTTTCCAGCAGGCGGCCAAGCAGCGACTTGAGCTCCGGCGAGAACCCCGCGGGGCACACGAGCGGCTTGTGCAGGATCATCTCGTACATCGTCGCCACGTTGGTGGAGTAGAAGGGCGGCAGACCGTTCACCATTTCGTAGAGGAAGGCGCCGAGGCTCCACCAGTCCACGGCGGTGGTGTGGCCGGACTTCCGCACGAGCTCGGGCGCCATGTACTCCGGGGTGCCGCAGAAGGTGTGGGTGCGGGCGTCGTCGGCGATCTCGCGCTTCGCGAGACCAAAGTCCGTCAGCACCACGTGCCCCTCGCGGTCCAGCACGAGGTTCTCCGGCTTCAGGTCACGGTAGAGGACGCTCTTGCTGTGGATGTAGTCCACCGCCATGCCGATCTCCGCCGTGTAGAAGCGGGCCCGCGCCTCCCCGAAGCGCTTGTTGCGCTGCAGGTGGAAAAACAGCTCCCCGCCGCAGAGGAACTCGAGGACGAGGATGAGGTGCCGCTTCGTCTGGAAGGCGTAGTAGAGCCTCACCACAAACGGGTGCGAGATCTCGCTGAGGATCAGTTTCTCGGCATTCGTGTGGGACACCAGCTTGTGCTGCACCACCTGCTGCTTGTCGAGGATCTTCATCGCGTAAATCTTGCCCGTTGCCTTGTGCCGCACCCGCATCACGCGCCCGAAGCTGCCCAGCCCAATCACCGTCAGCAGCTCAAAGTCCCGCATGGAGACATTCACGTTTTTGTCCGCGCCGGCGCCGGCGTACAGCACCTGCTCCGTCGAGTCCAAGTCATCCTCAAAATCCTCGTCCCCGCGCCGCTGGTGCGCCTGCCGCACCTGCTCCCTGATGGCCTCCACCCACTGCGCCTTCGCTGCCTGACTGGGGGCGGAAAGCACGTAGCCGCGCGGCAGTTGTGGGCCGACGACGCAGAAGGCGTTCGGGTGAATTGCCACGTCCATCACCTTCGCCCCGACGATGTCAATCTGCCCCGTGAGTGCCGACATGGGCGGCTGGGCACCGCAGCCGCTGCCGTTATTGTTGTTGGGGCTCCCATTGCCGCTCTCGTGGCCGCGGGCGGCGCCGCTGCTTCCGCTGCTGTCACTCGCTGGTCGTTGGCCCCGCTGGGCGTCGCTGGCGAGGGGCTTGGACGTCAACCCCGCCGCAGCCGCCGCCTCTCCGCCGCTGGCCTTGCCGTAGAGCAGCACCGTCCCGCGCAGCTCGAAGTACCGCATGTGCAGCTTCTCCCCGAAGAAGGCGGAGCGCTGGCCCAACTTCAGCAGCCAGCCCGACATGGCCACCGGCACCACCGGCACCGCGCAGCGGTGGCAGACGCGCTGCTTCTCCGTCAGCGACCACCCGGCGAAGATCGTCCTGAACGTCAGGCACTTTGCGCAGGTCAGGTAGCCGCAGCGACGGCAGTGGTGCCGGGTGAAGCGCGCCACCGCCGCCCCGCACACGTCGCAGGCCTGCGATGCATCGTCCGGCTGCCACAGCTTCCCACCGCAGCCCTTCGTGGGGCAGTCCCAGCGCTTGGGCGGCAGGTTCCTCCGCGGGGCGGGGAACGTCGCGCCGCACTTGAGGCACTTTGGCGGAAACACCCGCCGCAGCACCTCGCCGTTCTTTTCTGCGGCCTCTGCTGCCGCCGCCGCCGTCGTCGGGGAGCCGCCGTTGGAGCTACTCCCCTTCACGCCACTCGCCGGGTGCATGTGCGTGTGCGAGTGTGCGCGGATCCCACGGGGCAGTTACCCACGCGCCGCCGCTGCCTACTTCGTCTGCTTTAATTGTTTTGTTTGATTGTCTGCTCCGCTCCTGCTGCGGCGGCTGCTGCCCCACGTGGCCGCGGGGCGGCGCGAAGATGCCACGACGCCCGCAAGGAGAGAGAGCGCGCGCGCAGGCAAAATGCGTTAGACGCACACACACACACGCCGCCGCGTATGACCCTCAAAACTCCTTTATTTTTTTTTCTTCCTTCCCGCCGCGCTGGCGAGACGCCGGCAAAACGATGAGGGACCACCTGCGGCCCGCACGAGAGAAGAGGGGGAGGCGGGGGAAAAAAAAAAACAAAGACGCATGCGCACGTGAAGCGGCCCCGGCAGGGGGGGGCGTGTGTCGGCGCCACGGCGGCCGCCGCGAAGTTGAACGCGTGCGAGCGTCCGCGACAGCGAGGTCAAACCCAGAGACCAAAAAAAAGAAGAAAAGAAAAAACCGTCACACCCATCGTGTCGAAAAAACAAAAACAAAAAGAAATGAGGCGAAGAGCGAAGGCGCAGGTCAACCACGCCCCGGCCGGGAGAGTTGGCCGCTCAGCCTGCCGGCCTGTGCGCTTCTGTGCGCGCGCGCGTGTGTGTGAGTGCCGCGCCGCTGCGGTGGCACACGAGAAGCCGGCAGGCAGGCAGGCGTCACGCATTCCTCGTCTTTATTTTCCCTCTTTTTTCTTTCGTCCGCGCCGTGCCGCCCGCGGGGGGGCGGGGAGGGGAGGGGGAAGAAGGCACGCCGACACGCCCACCCCCCGCCGCCGCCGCCGCCGCAGCGCGGCCCCGAGCAGAAAACAAGTCACGTGAGAAGAACCCAAAAAAGACGACACGAAAAAAAAAGAGATGTCAAAAGAACCGATCAGACGAAAAGAAGACAAAAAGAAAAACACGGAAAAGACAAGAAGGACTCGAGTGGCGAGCAGCATATAACTGCGCGTGTGGGTGTGTGTTTTTTTTCCCTCCCCCGCCCCGCCCCGCCCCGTTGCCTCGCAAGGGCCCAACGGAGAGGGGCCTCCCACTCACGCACGCACGCGCAGATGCGGGGGCGTCCGTTTTCGCCACACGCACCCCTCGCCCGCGGCACGCAACCGACGCGGCAAACCCACCCGCCCGGCCGGCCGGCCACGCGCAGGCAAAGCGAGAGAGTGCGCGCGCGAGGTATAACAACGACGGCGAGTAGGCCACCACCCCCAGCACGTATCTACATGTGCGCATAAATATACGCGTGCTCCGAGGAGGTGAAGGGCCAAAACGAATTATTTTTTTTTAAAGCAAATACATCAACAAAAAAAACACACAAAGAAGAAATGGGCGTGGAATACGAAGGGAGGGTCGCATGAATGTCCCCCGCCTTCACCCACACTGCCTGTCGTTTACATGGTCGGTGGCAGCGGTGCCGGGTACTGTACATACTGGCACGGGGCGGCACAGCACAGCAAGAACGTGGATGTCTGTAAGGCCGTGCCTCTCCGTGCGTGTCTGTCTGTGTGTGCCGCCACACTGCGAGGGGGGGGTTGAAGGAGAGAGGGGGAATCAAGACAAAAACAAAAAAAAATCGAAGTAAAATGGTACTTCCACCCACACATGCATAAGGGAAAGAGAAAGGAGAGGGCAGGGGAGTGGCGGGCGTGTGTGGTGCGTTTGGCCCATCGAGGAGCGGCGGCGCGCGGCCGCAGCAGAAGACGAAGACGACGATGGAGCATGCGCCCACACACGGCGATGAGTGCTGAACTCTCAGCAAAAATGAAAGACAATCCCCAAAGGAGGAAATTTAAAAAAAAAAAAGGGCGCCCACATCGAAGGGGGAGAGAAGTGCACCACGGCCAGCTTAACCAATGCAGACACGTAAGCCAGCGAAAAGGAGGGAGGCGGCGAAGCTCCCACAAGTATGCCTCATCCCCATCGCTGCCTCCCTGCCTCTGACGGCACCACCACGCCGCGCAGCACACGCCGTGGCGTCCTTTGACGTTGGTGTTGCTGTTGTTTCCGCATGCGCCTCTCGCTGAGCCGCCCGCACGTGAGACGTGTGTTGCCAGGGGGGGGAGGCACGCGGGCACATCCTCCGCCCAACGCCTCCCCTCCCGAAAGGAAAAACAAGCCAGGGCAGAGACACAAATCACATAAGCCAAGGAGAAAGTCAAACAACAACGAACAGAAAAGAAAAAACGGCGAAAAGGGTCGCTGATAAAAAAGGCACGCCGAAGAAAACAACACCAATAACACAAAAAAAAACTGTGAACTGGTATGAAAGTAAGATAAGGGAGGTGAAACGGGTCTCCTGTGATGTAACAGGCCTCACTCATCCCCTCTTATCAACCCTCTCATATCGCCCCATCGCGCACTCTCTCTCTCTCTCTTGCATTGTATGCAAACATATATATATATATAGTGTAGAACAGTTATATATGTTTTCGTAGCTGGGCACTCGCAGTCATCCACGCTTGTTTACACACACATACATATATATATATATATATACATGTATGTCGGTATATGTATATGAATATGTGTATTTGTATATATACATGTGTATGTGTATGTATAACTTTACACATCGCCTCTGTGTGCCACTGGCGTGTACGCAGTCACCCACCACACACACACACAAACACAGAGAGACGCAGATGCACACAGGGTTGGCACGTAAGATGTGGTCCGCAGCCGCGCCTGTGCAGGCTGGGAGCCTAAGCGTGTGTGTGTGTGTGTGTGTGCGTGGGCGCGGTTGAGGAGAGTAGACAAAAGGTAAGAAACACACGTATAAAAAGGCTACTTTCCTCCCTTTTCAAGAAGGCAAAGGCGTAAGAAGAATTTTGTTAAGAAGAAAAAAAGAAGCTGTAAATTTACCCTCTACACCGCACATGTCTTTCTGTTGTTTTTTTGTTTTTGTTTTTGCTTGCCACATTTCAATCTCGGCTCGCTCCCCTCCACTCACACCCCGCCCTTTTTTCTCTCTCTCTCTCTTCCTCCGTGTGTTGGGGGGAGGGGGCGTCCGTGCAGTCAGCGACTTGAAGAAGAAGGAAAAAAAAAATTCAGTGGCACGCCACAACCGCAACGACGGCGGCAAGTCGCGGCCACCGCAAATTAAAACGCACACACGAGAGAGAGCGCGCGCGCGGGAAAGAGGCACCGCGAGAAGGAGGGAAGGGAGTGGGGGTGGGGGTGGGAGGTGGGGGGCAACCCACAGAAACTTCAGAAGTATTCTTCTTCACACGCGCATACACGTACACATTACAAATACGCTTCTCTGTTGGGGAGGGGAGGGGGGGCATCGGGCACATGTCGTTGACGCCTCCTCCGCTTTAGGGAAGAAGCGTAGCCGATGCGGCACTGCGGCGCCCCGGCTCCATTCACAGTGCCCCACTGCGCGCGCCTCTCTCTCTCTCTCACACACACACATGTATATATATAAAGATAAGGCAGGGGGGTAAAGGGAGAGGAGGTGTTGTACATGCGCAATGGCGGTCTGCTTCGCTCTCGCAGCCTCCTTCACGCTGAATGTGTTCGCCTCAATACATTCTTTTTTTTCTTTTTTGTTTGTTCCCGCCCCGTTCTTTTTCTTTTTTGTTTGTGTGTGTTGTCTTTGCTTCCTCCCCCGTTCCTTCACCGTCGCGTGCGTGTGTTTTTTCTTTTTCTCTCCCGTGTTTGTTGTTGTTTTGCTTTTTGTTTTTCTCCCCCTCCCACGTTTTTGTGGTCTCGTTCCCGTCTGCGGCCCGCGCCGGCTGCTGGCGGCGCCCAGCGCCCGCCACTCGTGCAGCGCAGCGCAGCGCAGCGCGTGCCCCACCGCACCGCCGGGCCGGGCGTTGGCGACGGAGACGCGGGGGCGCACGTCAAATGGCAGACAAAACACACAAAACACGCAGAAAAAAAAAAGGAAGCCAAAGACGTAACAAAACAAAAAAAAGAGCAACTGGGGCGTTGTTAGTGCATTTATATAAATGTATGCGTGCATACGTGGGCTTGCGGCCAGACAATAGGAGGGAGTGAGGGGGAGGGGAGGGGAGGGAGCAACCAAAACCAAAACAAGAAAAAAAGCGCACAAAGTAAAGAAAGAGGGATAGATGTAGACATATATATAGACATATATATATAGAGGGAGAGGGAGAGGGAGGGAGGGTTATATATTTATACAAATGTATATAACGATATATATAAAGAAATGGATGTAGGCATATATATATATATATATATTTACATACATACATTTTATTTTATTTTATTTACATGTGCATACTTTGCTGGCTGCGTCCATGCGCCTACACGTGGCTCGCTCCTCCTTCCTTTCCCTCACAGCGTGTGTGTAGGGGGGGCATGAGCGTTGCCGCATGGGAAGGGAAGGGAGAGACGCCGGCTCGTTCCCTTTGACCTACGCTGAGGTACGCGTTATTTATTTACTTTAGTTCCCCCTCCCGCTCCTCTCCCGCTCGGAATGACTTTTTTGTCGCGCCCCCGGAAGGCGACGCAAATGGCAGGCAGCAGCAACCAAGACAAGAGACGAAAAACTAAAAACAAAAACAAAAACAAAACGCTGGGAGAGGAATAGGGAGAAACGTGTGAAAGGAGGAGGAGGAGGAGGAGTTAAAGCGTTTAGTCCCCCTTTCTTTGCCTGCACGCCGTGCGGTTGCTGCTGCTTTTTGCTGGTGTTGCTTCTTTTGCTCCCCCTCTTCCGCCCCCCTCCCGCCAGGGGGTGGGGGAGGCGAGGGCGGCACGGCAGCCTACAGAGACATTACATTATTACTTCTGCCCGTGTGTGCCGCCCCGCGTCTCCCCCTCGGCGCGCTCCCGCCGCCCTGCCGCGTATAATTTTATTCCCACAAATGCCACCAGGTGCCAGTCAACGCATGGGAAAATGGGGGGAAATGTGAGGGCGGGGCACGCAAACGAGGAAAGCATAAAAAGAAAAAAAAATGCGTCGTAAACTGCCGGGGAATTGAACCGTGGGTAGTAACCATAATAACAGTAAGGACCGGCTTAAATGTCTGCGTGCATCACACATCGTCCCCCCCCCCACACACACACACACACGCCCCCAGCAGACACACACAGAGGCACGCATGCACGTCAAGTCGCTTGCATGCACACACACACACACACCCGCACAAGGGAGGTCATAAAACCCGAAAACAGAAAACTAAAACAAAAAACTAAAACAAAAAACGGGGGCGAAAATAATGGGTGAGGGAGAGACAGAGAAATATGGGGGAAGCCGGGCGCGTGTGCATGTCCCTGCCTCTGCGTAGATCCAGGTAAATATATATATATATTTATATACAGATATATGTATACATATGTATGTATATATAAAGCCAAAATGTGTAGAGATAACACAAAGGATAGCGAAAGATAACTCCTGCCGCCACCCCGTTCTTGTTTCTTCTTGCCTTGTTTTTTTTTTGATTTTCTTTCTGCGTCTAAGTGCGCCTAGCTAACACCAAAGTTGGCAAGAAATTCCCACACCTCGTCATTCTCTGCGAATGCGATCGGCTCACTGGTGTAGGGCGCAGACTCCTGCTCATCCACGGCGTTGGTGCACCCAATGGAGGGAAAGTTGCGACAGAACATGGGCGTGGGCAGGCTACACCCCTCCCCGCACTCCTCCCTCGCTGCCTCCGGGTCCAGGGAAAACGCGGACATGGTCAACTCGTCCCCCGGCTCCCCCTCAAGACCCTCCTCCTGCTTCATCGCCACGTGTTGCAGCAGCTGCTCCAGAGACTTGCGGGTGTGAGCCGAGGGCTCGGCTGGCTGCTGGGTGGCAGACTTCTCCTCTGTGGCCGTTAGCGGCGCAGCATCAACGCGGGGGGCTGGAGCCGTCACTGCCTCCCTGTTCTCAGTGTTGGGCACACGCTGCACGGAGACGGCTTGATGGGCCTTCTTCCCCTGAAGAACACCAACGCGAAAGACAACCTTGTCCCCGATGGAGAGCGCACGGAAGCCCTGCATTTGGATGTAGGACTGGTGCAGAAAAATGTCCCCAATCGTCACTGGCGTGCGCACGACATGCGCCTGCAGCTCCATGTGGGCGTCATTCCTCGCATCCAACTTCTTCGGCTGCGTGGCACCTGCCGCCGCCGCAATGGCCGCCGTTGGCGAGGGCGGCGTGTTCGTTCTGGCTGTGATGGATGTCTGCTGCTGCGCGGGCAGGGGCGGGGGAGAGATGACCTTGAGGTGGTGCGTGGCCGTGAGAAACCCAAAGCCGCGCATGGGGTTGTAGCGCTTCACCACCCCCTCGTACCACTCGCCAAGCTCGTACCTGGTGCCGTTCTCCTGCGATGGGCCATGCGGCGCGGCGGGAGGTGCGTGTGGCGGCAGCGCCATGATGTTGGCGGACGGTGCTGCCAGCTGCGGGCTCTGCGCCGGGGAGGGCTGCAGGACGAAGTAGACGGGCGGCGTCCCCATTGAGGAAGCAGGGGAGCTTGTGGGCGACTGCATGCTGAGCCCCCAGCCGCTGCCCGACACCTGGCCGGGCGAGGTCTCGCAGCTGCCCAGGTTGCTGCCGCTCTGCCGCCAGGAGCCGCGCCCGCCGCCCTGCTCGCCGCGGTGGCCCGCGCCGTTGCAACTCTGCGCGAAGGAGGGCGGGGTGGGGGGGTAGACGTGCTGCTGCTGCTGCTGCTGCTGCGCCTCCGCGGGCGGGTACCCCATCGGCGCGGGGACGAGCCGCTGGTTCGACAGGCCAAACGCGATAAACTGGGGGCCGCCGAGGTCGCACGTTGTCGCCCACGAGCCGGGTTGAAGAAACATGGCCGCCGCGTGGAGTTCTCAAGGCGCTGGGCGCGAAAGCAGAAGTATATATATTTATATATCTGCTTGTTTTGCCTCCTGCTTTCTTTCCTTCCTTCGCTTTACGTTGTGTTCGCTGTCTCCTGCCGTGGGGTCTGTGGGGTGCGTGTGCCGGCGCAGATAAGTGAAATCACTGGCGCGGCGCCAACAGACACACACGCAGAAAAGACAAAAAGACAAAAAGACAAAAAGAAAGTGGTGAGGGGGAAGTCGAGGCCGCATGTGCGGAGTTCCTGGCGCCTGCGCCCCGCGTCCGCCACGTGTGCCGTGGGCCAACCCGCCCCCCTTTTCGGCCCCCGCATTTGCCCTCCACGCCGCCCAAGAAAAAGAAGAAAAAAAATAGTGATCCCAATGAAATAAATAAATTCGTTTCTTCTGTTGGACCGGGGGCCCACACGCCCGCCGATGCACGCACGCAGGTGCAGAATAAACGCTCTCTGCCTTGTGGTCCTCCCACAGTCGTTCATGACACGAAGGAGTCGACGATCTCCTTCCCGCAGCCGCCGCAACGCAGCCGCGCCTCGCTCTGCTGGTTCAGGGCGGAGTGAAACTCCTGCTGCGCCACCTGCTGCGCCGCGTCCGCCGCCTCTACGTCGGCGCAGAGTTGTTTGAGGCGTGTCTTCAGCCGCTCCACCTCCCCGCGCCGCAGCGTCAGGGCGTCGGTGGAGTGGCGCGTAAACGCCTCCCGCGCCTCCCGCTGCTGCAGAAGTTGCTGCTCCAGGCACGCCGACGAGCTCACGGCGTCGTCGCCGCAGGCTGTGCCAGGCGCCACCGCCGCCGCCTCGTCCCTTGCGCCCTGCACATGCCCCTGCAGCGACGTCTCTGTCCTCGGTGCGTGCTGCTCCCCTGTGTACTCGTGCAACTGCTGCTGCAGCGCCTGCACGGCGCCCTGCAGAGCCGCCACCTCCTCCGCCTTGCGGGCCGCCTGCGCCTCCAGCGAGGTCAGACTGTTCTGCGGCTGCCACCACTGCAGCAGCTCGGCGTGCACAGCCACGGAGTTGGCGAGGTACTGCCGCTGCAGCTGCTCCAGAGACTTCTTCTGGGCACGGCTCTCGGCCTCTGTCTCCTGCCGCGGCCGCCGAACCGCCTCAACGTGCTGCTGCTGCGCCTCCGCTTCCTCCTTCTGCCGCTCCACGTGAGAGCGGACCCGCATGATCTCCCGCCGTAGTGCCTCCAGGCGCTGCTGCTGTTGGCTGCGGATCGCATCGCGTCTGGCGCCGTTACTCTCCTGCTGCTGGCGCACTGTCTGTGTGAGTTGGGCGAGGCGCAACTCCTCCTGCTGGAGTGCCTGCTGCGCCCGCTGTAGTGCATCGTGGAAGCTCTGCAAGGCATCCGTGGCGGTGTGGTCCAATGCCCCCAGCATCGCCGAAGCACGCATGCACAGAAGCAAATGTGTGTGTGTGTGTATGTGTGTGTGTCACAATGTATGCACTGCGCTCCCTTTCTCTCCCTGTCTGTCCGCCGGTGTATTTGTCAGCTGCTCCGCCTGAGCTTGCCGCCCTGCCGCCTTTTGCGGGGCGTGCCGGAAGACACGTAGAGACGGAGCGCATGGCAAGCAGAAACGCGGGCGAAACAGCGTGAAAGAGAAAGCAAAGCCATACCCACAAGCACACATACACGCATGCGTGTCGCGCCGCGTGTTTGCACGCAGTGGGGGTGGGGGTGGGAAGAGGGGGGAAAAGAGTCGTCGAGAGGGCGCAACGAAGAGAGGCGCCGGGCGGCGCACTGCCACCCACCCGCCCACACCCACTCGGCCCTGTCGTCCCCTCACACAAACTCCATCGTGCAGCCCCGCGAGTTCACCTCGAACGCAGGGAAGAGCGCCCGCGTGAGGCTGACACGCGCAAAGGCGACGCCGCAGTCGACGCCGTCCCGTCGAAAGCGTATCGTCTGCGTCACGGTGTCAAGGGAGCAGCTGACCTCCTCGCCGACGCGCACGGCAGCGGCGGACGCGGCAGGGGCGCCAGCGTCACCGCCGCCCCTGCTGCCTGGCAGCCCTTCCGCAACGGTCACGGGGGCGGCGCGCTGAAACGCAGGGTACGGCATGTCCACTATTCCCTGCGCCGGGCAAAACAACGTGCCGCGGCCCAGGTGCAGGTAGTAGCAGTTCTCGTGCCGCAATGAGTTGCGCGCCGAGCCAAACCCCTCCAGCTGCAGGTAGCGGTCGGCAAAGCCCATCAGCAGGCCATCGCAGTACATCCCCGCCCGTATGGTGTACTCAAAGCACGGCGGGACGCCGGGGGGCTGCGCGGCGAGGAAGCTGCGGTGGTCCAGGGCGCCCAGCGCGGAGCTCGTCATGTTGTCCACCACACCCGGCAGCAGCAGGCGCTGCAGTCGTGTGCCGTTATTTGACACCTGCAGGCGCCCGCCCAGGAAACCAAATGTATGCCGCGGGGTTGCCCCACCGCCGCTTCCATTCGTGCAGAGTCGGCGCGTGGCATTCATGTCAGCTGCTGCCGCCGCTGCCGCTGCTTCAGTGTGTGCGTCAACTAGTGGCTGTGGCGGCCGCGGCGGCGGCGATGCGGCGGCAGTGACGTTATCGTCCTTCACCAGCACTGCGTCAACGGCAGCGGTGCCAAAGAGATGCCTCGCGCAGGGCGACTCCCCGCGCTGCAGGGGCGTCAGCAACGCGCCCAGCCGCTCCTCCACGGCCTCCGCCAGTGGCTCAACGAGAGGGTCGTAGAGAAGGACGTCCGCAGCGGCCACACGCCGGCGTCCCGGCACGGCCGCCTCCTGCATCTCTTGTAGCAGCAGACGCAGCGTCTGTTGCTGCCTCTGCAGGCGCGTTGCGGGTTCGTTGTCGTTCGCGTGACTCCCCGCGGCGCTGGCGGCTCGCGCGGGGGCCGACTCCGCCGCCCGCAGGACATCTTCCAACAGCGTCACGGCCTCCATCAGCTTCACGACGCACTTCGCGGCGAGAAGGCGGTTTCCCGCGCTGGAGTCTTTGTCCGCAAGCGGCGAGGCGGAGCTCAGGCGCTGCTCTGGCTCTTCCTCGGCTCGCCGCCGCCTCCGAAGGGCGTGGTCCCTGGCGGAGAGCATCGCCTCCACCGCAGACTCCACCGCCGCCGCCAGCGCCCGCAGCCGCGCGTCCGGCGACGCGTCGACGCGCCCTGCGGAGAAGTCCCGGCGGGGTTGTTGCGCCGCCTCGGGCTGCAGCCAACTGCCCCGCGCCAGCGGCTGTTCGCCCACGGCCGTGTTGGCCCGCTGCAGCTGGTGCGTTGTTTCACGCAGCGCGGCCTCGAGTCGCTCGCAACGCACGTTCTCCTCGGCTCGCTCCTGCTGCTGCTCCGCCAGCCGCGCAGCCATCGTCGTGATCGCGGCCTCCGCCTTGCGCAGCAGCCGCTCCGCCTCACCGTTGCGCAGCACCTCCGCCTGCAGATCTCGTCTGCGCTCCGCCAGCTCTGCGGCGTCCGCCTCACGGCTTCTCCGCACTTCGTCGAGGTCCACGTGCAGCCGCCGTATCTCCTGCCGCTGCGCCTCCGACGCCGCCTCCACCGCGGCCCGTTCTGTCGCCCGCTCCTGCAGCAACGCGTCGTGGCTGCGGCGCAGCGTGGCAAGGTCCTCCTGCAACTGCCGCAGAGACGCGGCGGCGGCGGACTCGTTCGCGGCGACGAGCGCCTCGAAGCGCGCCCCTTGATCCATCCGCGACTGTGCCGCCTCGTCGCGGCAGCGCCGCAGCTCTTCACGAAGCGCCTCCGCCGCCTCCTGTGCCTCCCGCCGCTGCACCGCCAGTGCATCCGCGCGGCGGCAGTCCTCCTCTGCCGCGCGTGCGGCCGCCTGCAGCTGCCGCTCGCTCTCGCCCGTCGTGCGCTGCAACTGCTGCAGCAATGCATTCGCCTCTCGCAACGCCCTCTCCTTTTCCTCGTTGGACCGCCGCACCTCCGCCAACTCGCGCTGCAGCTCCTGCAGCCAGCTGGACGCCGCCGTTTCGGCTTGCCGGACGGCTGCAACCTCCTGCTCCAGCTCCTCTATGCGCTGCTGCTGCCGCTGACGCTCTGAGCTGTGTCGCCGCTGCAGCGCCGCGTTGGCGTCCGTCAGACGCTGCACGTCCGCCGAGAGCACCTCCACCTGCTGTTCACGCAGTTGCAGCCCCTCCACGGCGTCCGTGTTGGCGGCCCTCACCCCGTCGTAGGCCCGCTGCAGACGCTGCAGCTCCTCCGCCGCCTCCCGCGCGCGACCCGCGGCGAGACGCGCGTGCTCCTCCGCCTCCGCCCGCCGCAGCGCCTCCGCCCGCAGCTGCCGCTGGGCCTCGCGCTCCTGCTGCCGCAGCGCCTCCGCCTCCTCCATCCGCCGCCGCGCCTCCGCCTCGCGCTCGTGCCGCTTCTGCGCCTCTTCGGCCCTCCGCCGCTCCGCGGCCGCCTGCGCTTGACGCTCGAGCTCCTCCTGCCGCACGCCGCGCGTTGCCGCCCGCACCACCTCGCCCTCGTAGAACTTCTCCAGGTGAGAGCCGCCCGGGCCGCGGGCCTCCGACGTCGGCGGCGGGCCCTGCGCGAGGTCGCAGACGGCGCCCGGGGCAGGCGGGGAGTCGGTGGGTGACGGCGGACAGCTGCTCTGCTCCCGGCCGTCGCGCGTGGGAACGCTGAGGCTCCGCAGCGACGCCGGCCGCTCCTCGGGTCGAAGCAGCTTGACCCGCTCCCGCCACGCCTGCACGCGCAAGTTTTTCCAGGACTCTAACTGCTGCAAACAAATGCGGCTGCGCCGCGCCGCCTCCTCCTCTGTGCAGATGCGACGAACGACCGACCGGCTCCGTGCGCCGGCGCCGGTGGGTGAGGCGCCCCGCCGATAATCCCCCACATCGTGGGGCGTGCCTGCAGGAGCGGTGTCCGGCGGCGTGGCGCCGAGCGCGGCACGCGGGGCAGGCACTGAGTCACTGACCGCCGCACCCACACCCGCCCCGATGCCTCCTTCACCCCCACCACCACCGCGACGCGAAGTCATTGTTGGAGAATCTACGGATGCAGGCATCACCTTTTTCATTGCCGCTGCTGCTGCTGTTGCCCGTACGCTGCGGTAATGGAGTTATCTATGTGGCCGTATACACACAGCCAGGGAGAGATGCGTCCCTGTTAACAACTATTATTATTATTACTATACTTTTCTATGTGTGTGGGTGAGGAGGTCCCTCGCTGGGCCTCCTGCCGCTCCAGACGTCAGGCGAGAGTACCAGTGGGGAGAAGTGTTGGAGGCAGAACACAAAGTGGAGGGAAGGGCACGCGAGAGAGACAACAGAGGGAGGGAGAGAGATATATCAAGGAAAGGAAGCAAGTAAACCACACACAAGTACACGCATACTCAGAGGGATAGAAAGAGGGAGAAGGGAGCGTACAGAGACAGGAAATTGGCAAGGGTTGAACTGTAATCACAACCGCAAGCGTAGAGGCGTGGTGGCGGCGGCGGCAGCAGCCGTCTTGGCCGTCGTCGTACGAGCCATTCACAGTGGGAGTTGCTGGCCACTGTTTTCCGTATCACGCACATTTGAAGTTGTTTCCTTTTTGCTCCCCCCATTTTTTCACTTTGTTTCTTGAAGTTTCTTTTCTTTTCGTTTCTTTTCTTTTTTGCTTTGTGCTTGCTCTTCTTCATACCTCGTTTTCTTTGGGGGGACTTCACCCGCAGCAGGTGGCGGCCGTCATATCCCCGCACACATCGGCAGCGGCCGTGGGAGTGTAGAGAAGAATAATAATAATAATAAAAAGGGGGTCCAGGAAGGAGGGCGCGCGGCGGCACATCGAAGCAAACACAGACACACACACGCAGCATAGACGCACGCACGCACCCCTCCCCCCCCCCCATGCGGGGTCTCCTGCAACTTTGCCGCCTGCAGCTCCGCCCGCTTTGTTGCTGTTCTTGTCGCTTCCGCGGCCTCGGTGCACCATTTCCCTTCGCATTGAAGCCTCACGAGCTGCCTCGTGCCGCCCCGCGCGTCCTCCTTCCTGCTCGCGTGGTTGCTGGACGGGGGGCAATTGCATGCGCCTTCGCGGGCACAACTCCCACGGCTTCCTCGAGGGAAAGAGGAGGAAGAAGAAGACGGTCGTTCCTTTTTTGTTTTGTTTTATTTCGATGTTGTTGTTTTATTTTTGGCTCCTGACGTTGCCTCGTATTTGGCGGTTGGTTGCGGGCGCTTCACATCGGCAGCTCCCCGCGCGCTTCGGCCGGCGGTGAGGCGCGGTGCCGCGTCAGCCGCCGCGGCGCCGGAAGGCCTCCGGAGCGTTGGGGTCGTCGTCCAGTTTGGTGCCCACGGAGAGGCGCGCTACGGAGTGCCCCTGCGCGTCGACGGCGGGGCGGTCAATGTACACGCACTGCTTCGGCGGCTGCTGGCTGGTGAGCCCCTCGCGAATGCAGGCGGGGATGCTCATGACGGTGCGGCAGCGGGGGCACATGGCGAGGCTCGTGTTCTGCGGCAGGATGAGGATGCAGCGGCAGCAGACGCACGTCACGCTGAACTGCTGCACGGGGGTGATGGTGGTGCACATCGGGCAGCGGACGGAGGGGGCGCCGATGGGGTACGCCAGCGTCACCTGGCAGCCCTGGCAGACGATTTGCCCGGTGGACTGCGGCTGGTGCGGCATACTGCTGCGTGCGTGCGCGTGTGGGCCGCGGGGGCGCGCCTTCCTGCGCTCTCGCTCTCCCGAAGGCGCGGCGCCGAGGACGGCAAGAGGCGGACTCTTCTCCCTGCCACCGCGTGCCCTGTGCGCCGGCTACGCGGGTGGCTGTGGTGGCTGCGGGTGCGTGTTCCGCCGCCGCCGCTCCAACAACACAAAAAAAAAAGAGGACTCAAATATATAAATAGAGGCGGCGATGCAAAAGCCTCCGCGCCTTTTCTGTCTGGGCTTCCGACGTTTCCCCCGCCCCGCTGCTCGTCGTTCGCGACTGCGCTCCAGAGACACGCACACCGCAGGAGCGGCGGAGGGAGACGGTCAGAGAGGGAGAGGGAGAGGGAGAGGGAGAGTAGGAAAAGAGAAAGAGAAAGAGAAAGAAGGGGGCGCATTGAGGGCCACGCGGCAGCACATACATACATCCATACATATAAATACATACATGCAAAGATATGTATATACATATCTGCGGGCAAGCAGCGCTGCGGCGATGCACTGGGCCCAGCAGTGGGGCGATGCGGTTGATGTAGGAGACACACGGCGCACAAACGCTGCAGCACTTGGCGACACATGCAGAGAGACCGAGAGAAAAAGCGAGAGACAAAAAAAAAGAGGGAGAGAGGAAGAGAGAGACAGGCAGACACAAACGTGAAGTTCCCAGGCAAATGCATGCACGGGCATACCCGTGCAAATAAACATGGAGAGGCAGGAACCTCCGGTGCCTTTCCTTCTTTCTCTCCATCTCTCTCTCTCTCGTTCTCTCTTGCTGTGTCTCGCTCTCGTTCCCCTTCGGGCGTTTATCAAACAAGCAAACAAACTAAAACGAAGAGAAGAAAGGGGACGATTAGAATAAGTATTTACTTGTGTGTGTGTGTGTGTGTGTGTGAGTGCCGTCTGCGTGTAAGTGCTCCTCGTGGGGGCCTTCACACACATCCTTCTTTTTGCCTCTCTTCGGTTTATCCCTCCGCTTCTTTTGCCTTCAGTATTCCCCCTTCCGCTTCCTCTCCCGCCCCCGCTTTCCTGTTCTCTCGCGCTCTCCACTCGCCATCGCGGGCAAGCGTAAAACAAACAACACAAAAAAACAACAACAACAATCAAAAACAAAAAACAAAACAAACAAAACAAAAACAAATGGCTTTTTAATACACTTCTTTTTTAACGCTCACGCTTCTGCCCTCATCAAATGTTAACGTCCGCCTGTGTGTTTGGCGGCGTGGTCCCCGACGTGGAGAGCGCCGCGGCCGCGCAGTCGTGCGGGTTGCCCGCCTCCTCCCCCTCGCTCGCCTCCTCCGCCTCCTCCCCCTCCATCGCCCGCAGCTCCCCAAGCACCTTCTCGAGGCGTCGCTGGTGCCCAATGAAGCGGGGGGTGACGCCAATGAAGTGGCGGACGCCGTCGTGCTCCACGCGGCGAATGACGTAGCGGTCCACGCGCACCGGTGCACCGTGGACGGGGTCCCGCACCCAGTGCTCGTCGGTCTCGAGGGCGTCGCGCGTCTGGATGGAGATCCCCTTGATCCAGGAAAGGAGCACCTCCTCCACGTTCGTCTGCCGGTACGCGACGGCGTCGTACTGCTGCGCCTCCGACGCGCTGCTGCGCCGCCGCCTGTCGCTGTGCGCCGCCACCGCGGGTTCACGCTCGTAGGCGACGTGCACCCAAAAGGCCCCCGCCGGCGCTTCCCCGTAATCCTGCAGGAGGACGTTGCTGGCGTGGTTGCTGGTGTAGTTCGGCGGCGCGGCTGACTGCCCGGGCGAGGTGGGTGAGCCGACGGCGGAGAGGGCGCCCGGGGGGTTGTTAAACGCGGGAGGCGGCTGCGACTTCTCAAACTGTGGGGCGGCGGCCGCGACGGGGCTCACGACAGTGGAGGGTCTCCGCTGCTGTCGGCGGTCGGCAATCTCGCGCGGGGTGCTGCAGCGCAGCACGTCGCCCTGGTAGAGCCCCACGGAAGGCATGTCCTGCCCCACAATAAATACATCGTTTTGCTGCACCGGCGCCGGCACAGGCATGCCGCCGCGCAGGAGGCCACGGTAGTTCCACGAGCGCGGCAGGGGGAGGACGTTGCTGGCCACCGTCAGCGTGAGCTGCTGCGCCAGGATGAGGCACCCGCGACGCGCGTACGCCGCACTGGCCCAAACACACAACCGGCCATCCTCGACCCAAATGCGAAAGCGATTCCGGCGGCAGGCGAGAAGCAGCGCCGACCTAGCAGCCGCCTGCTGCTGCTGCTGCTGCTGCTGCGGCTTTGGTGGGTTCGTCTGGGGGAGGAGCGGGTTTTCGTTGGCGGCGTCGGTCGCCCATGCCGGGGTGCGCACGTGCGACATGTTCGTCATGGAGGGATGCTTCAGGGGCGTCGTCTGCACGCTCACGCCAGACATCATGAGGATCGGCAGCTGGCCATCCACGTTTGTGTTTTGGCTTGGGTGGCTCCGCAGCCACTTCGTCTCCGCCGCTTCTGTGAAGAGCTGTCGTGACGACGTCCCACTCGGTATGTCCTCCTCAAAGAGAAACGCATCCGAGTCGTTCTTCCCCGCTGCCGCGTCGCCCAACTCCCCGCCGTCGGCGCTAGAGAGCGAGTTGCAGCTGCCGCCGCCGGCAACGCCGCCGCCGTGCGATCCAGCGCCGTCCGCGCGCGTGCCGGCTCGCGGGGTGCCGGCGTCGAGCAGCGACTGGAGTCGCACCCGCATCTCTCGCACAAACTGCAGCATGGGAATGTTGGAGATGGGCGTGCGGAGGATGAACGGCACCATGGGGATAAACGGGGCCCGGAAGCGCGCCTCCATGCACTGGCGCACGTACATGTGCACCGCCAGCATCACGACGTTGCCGAGAATTTGATCGCCCACGTCCTTGTCCACAAACATGGTGGCCTTCAGCAGGTGCTGCTCGACGCTCTCCCCGTTGACGGTGGCGGGGATGGTTGTGGGGAAGAGGCCGAACATGCCGAGCACCTTCACCGTGGACCCGAGAAACTCCACCCCCTCCTCGGTGTGCGGCCGCTGGGCGTCGTAGCGTGAGACAATGGCGCACGGCACCGGGCGAAGGTAAAAGGCGGCCGGCGAGGTCACATGGGTGCCGTGGCTGTTGCGATGCGTGTGCTGCCCTTTCCCCTGCATGTAATTTACGGCATCCCTGTAGCCGGCCACGTAGGCGCCTGCTCCCGCCCCAAAGTACTCCTCGTGCATGCTGCCAGGAGCTTGCCGCGTGTGTCCCATCCGCTGCTGCTGCGGCTTTCGCTGCCGCTGCTGCTGCCGCAGCTGATCCATGTATCGCTGCCGCACCTCCTCGTCCGACTCGCACATGCAGTACTCTGTCTCCCGCACCAGGCGGTGGTAGAGGCCCTCGATACTGTCGCTGAAGGAGCTCTCAAAGGCGCCGTCCTTGTTTGGCCCCTCCGGGTCCTGCAGGTCCAGGCCGTAGGCGTGGGCGATTGTCTGGCAGTAGTAGTCCGACTCCCAGTCCGCGCTCGCGGGACGGACAGCCCGGTAGTAGTACTTCGCCGTGCGGTGGTGCCGCGCCTGAAAGAGGCGCTCAAAGAGCGGGCAGTGCTCGTCCGGGAAGAACTCGGCGGTCAGGGGAATGAGCACCACCTCATTCCGCCGGTTACGTCCATGGCGGTGGCTGTACAGGCCCCGCCGCTGCGTCTCCCTACTCGGCAACGCACCCATCTCTCCTCCCCGCGCGTCTCGCCTCGCCTCGCTGCAGGCTCGTTGCCTGTTTTATTTCAACTCTTGTTGTTGTTGTTTTAGAATAAAATTATATATATGTAATCTCTTACGCCGCCTGTCGCGTTATTTGTCGATCGCCTCTTTATTTCTGCTGTGCAGTCGCGCGTATGTGTGCGTGTGTGTGTGTGTGCGCGCACTGCTTTTACGTACGTCTCTGCGCCCGTGTAGCGTCGGCCTGCGCGAGCACCGCCGCCCACGGCCGTTTCTGCGCTGCCGGGTGCCTCGCGTGAGGGGAATCCGCTCTGCAGGGCGCGGGGGGCTCTGCCGCCTCCCTCGCCGCGTGTGCGTCTCACGCAAGCCGGTGATGTGGCGGCTGGAAAGACGGGCGGGGCGAAGCCGGTCGCGGCGGGGGAAAAAAAAGGCGAGCAACGCAAGTTGCACGTCCCCTCCGCAAGCACACGCACGGCCTACTCGTGTGCGGTATTTATGCGTGTGTGGGTGCGTGTTTTTATTTCCTTCTTCTTGTTTTTTTTGTTTTGTTTTTTGTTTTCCTCCCCCCTTTTTTTGTGTGTATTTTTTTGTGCTTCTTCTTTTAGTTTTTGTTTTTGTTTTTTGCTGC